CACCCCAACGGTTTCTCTTTCACAGTTTCCAAACCGCCCAATCAGACGACTTTTTGGCGCTCCCAACCTGCAGAGCGGGACTCGCTGTAGCGGGTTGACTCCGAATGTGCGCTGTCGCCTGCGTGGCGGTGCCGTCGGCAGCATCGGCAACACACGTGAAGGTGGCAAAAGGTGGCGAATCTGCTTGCAACTGCACGCTTCCCTGGAGCGCAGGCCGAAGATTGAGCAAAGGCGGAAGGACGCGACTTTCCCACACGGCAAACAGGCTTTCACGGCGAATTGCACCTCAGGCTTGCTCGAACTGCACCTCTTTGAAGAATCCAGCAGGTGACATTGGTGACACGTTGACATCGGCGACGACACATAATAACGTCTTGGGCCTCCAGCGACTCAGCTCAAGGGCACGTGCAAAGGTCAACGAAGTCTCTGGATTGCAGGGATCCTTCGGCGACGGCCCTTCGGCGACGGCCCTGCAGCTTTACAGAGCACGAGCGTGAGAGCATCGCGTCACCGCGTAGCACAGCCTCAAAAGCGTCAGTGGCTGGAGACGATGCCGACTGCACGCTTCGGCCCCCAGCATACGGCCACCACGGCAATCGCTGCAACCACTGCAACCACTGCAACCACTGCAACCACTGCAACTGCAGATGCCTGTCCAACGAGAGATCTTTGCGGCTGCGAGACTCGACGCCAGCACGCCATCGTCAGCTGGGAGTTGATGCCTTGACGGTCTCGACGGAGATGGGATCAGGGGCACATGATTGCTTCGTGGGCTTAGTGACCTCTTGTTTTGTCTACTTCACATCTTTAGCCACCAGCTATCACAGCCCAAGCCCAACTGCTTGACCCATTCCAGCACCCAGAAAGGTTCGTCAGAGTTCTGCCCGGATGGTGGCTTTACTGAAGTCGGGGATCCTCAGCAGATCCGAAGAACTCATCGTGATAAAATGTGCTACAACCCCCCGTCGCAATGCCTGAAACGCCTGTGTACCTGCGCGAAGCCACCAAACCAGGCCCAGGGCCTCGGCCGAAAGCAAGAAGGTTGGAAGTGACTCCCTAAGTTGAAAGGGGGTAGCTGTGGGGTAACTGTGGAATCGGCCTCAGGATCGTACTAGTTACTAGTGGCCTTCTGGGCGGCGGTTCTGGGAGAGGGGGCACAAGGCGCGAGGCCAACAAGAGGACCGATCAAGAGGAATCTTCTACGCTAAGACAAATTGTTGAAGCATGGGGGAGCCGCAACAGCCCGGAACATCCCAGAACACCCTTAGCTTGAAACTTGACAGCCGAGGAGGTGTCCTCCAGGTGATCTGAAAATTCCAGTTCTTGAGGACATCCCGGGAGTTCGAATTTCCGGGGGAACCCACAAGAGGCTTCCGTGACTTCTGGCCCAGATGGCGAAAGGGGAGCGAAATGGATTGCGATGTCCATAAGCCCACCCTAGACTTCTAAACCCCTCGACCAGCATCCCGCCCTAATAACCCGGTGGACCTGCGACATTCAGCTCACGAGCTGCACGCGCGGAAGCCGGACTCAAAGTTAGCCGCCACGTCGGGGGCCCATGCTTCAAGAAACCCCTTGGAGAGTAGCTCACCGTATTGGACCTTGGAAGCAAGTGGCCCGGAAGCTCTGCAAACGCCGTTGGCCCTTGGCAAATGGCCGACTCGAGAGCCCCCCGCCTCTCAGAGGAGAAGCCCTGCTGTGAAGAAAAAAAGTAAAGGAGGAGAAGCACGGCGCGGAAAAGAAAGGAAGGGTTCTTCCCCACGGTCCCCTTGCCCGTCATAGGAATCAAGTCCCATGGTCTGGGGCCGAGATGGGCCGAGAGCCTCACGGAACTCAGGAGGATGGTGTCCCTTCAACGCCTAGACTGGGCAAGCTATGACGCGATGCGAGGCTTAAGGTACATACGTGTCTTTCGGAAAACATTGCGAGGCTTATATGCGACTCTCTAAGCCCTCCCCAGTTGGGGAGCCCCGGAAAGGCATGTCAAGACCTGCAGGCTACCGGGCCTTTCCACATCCTTTTTTTGCTCTTTCTTAGGCCAACATTGGATTCATGGCATCCCGGTTTGGGGCTTAGGGTCTGACAAAATAGGGCTTAGGGTCTGACGAAAAAGGGCTTAAGGTCTGACAGAAGATGCCGCAGCTTGGATCGAGCTGGCAACATCACGGAAGTCAAGGAAGAACACTCCCGACAATCTCAGTTTGGCCGTCTCTGGCCGCTTTTCAAAAGCAGAAGACCCCCGAACTGCGCGGACTTGCCTGCAAAATTGCAGTTTTTCCACCAAGTTCCCTGTGTCACCTTGCGCCACGAACTCGCTTTGGCCGCCGATCCATGCCAAGCCTGGCACAACGCAGCAAAACCGCCGAAGTCTCCAGCGGAAGGCTTTCGACTTTGGCAATGCGCAACATGGAGCTGACCCTAAAACCCCCCAAGCACGAACACACGCAGATCCCGAGAGCCTAAACCGCAGAAGCCCCCAAGTATTCACGTCCCTTGACTCCAGCCCTTGACCCGAATCCCCTTCCAGCAGGCCCCTCCATCTTGCCCCACCGTACCAGAAGGGGCCAGGATTTTTTGGGGAAATAGTTTTTGGTTTTTTTGGGTATGTTTTTGGGTTTAGGGTTTAGGGGTTAGGGTTTAGGGTTTAGGGTTGAGGGTTGAGGGTTTAGGGTTTAGGGTTTAGGGCTTAGGGTTTAGGGTTTAAGGTTGGGGTTTAGGGTTTAGGGTTTAGGGTTTAGGGTTTAGGGTTTAGGGTTTAGGGTTTAGGGTTTAGGGTTTAGGGTTTAGGGTTTAGGGTTTAGGGTTTAGGGTTTAGGGTTTAGGGTTTAGGGTTTAGGCTTTTAGGCGTTTAAGCTTTTAGGCTTTTAGGGTTTAGGGTTTAGGGTTTAGGGTTTAGGGTTTAGGGTTTGGGTTGAGGGTTTAGGGTTTAGGGTTTAGGGTTTAAGGTTCAGAGTTTGGGGTTTTGGGTTTAGGGTTTAAGGTTTAGGGTTTAGAAAACCAAAAAATACCCAAAAACAACCAAATTCAACCAAAAACAACCAAAAACAATACCCAAAAAGAACCCCCACCCGTACCAGAAACCCAACGACAACTCTAAACCCTAAACCTAAACCCTAAACCCTAAACTCCCTAAACCCTAAGCCCTACACCCTGCACCCAATGCATCCCCCAGAAACCACAAGAAAAAACACAGCTTGTCGCTTTCCTCCTCGGCAGGGCGGCCGCGATCCAAGCCATGGCAGTGGCACCGCAGAAGATGTAGAGCATGTCAACAGAAACCAGGGTTTCGGGCTTGGGGTTTAGGGTTTAGGGTTTCGGGTTTCGGGTTTAAGGTTTAGGGTACTCAAAGGAAACACCCTCAATAAGCAACCCTGCCATGAGTTCTAGTTTGAAGAGATTGCCAAGCTTTGTCTTCCGTGCTCAGTGAGCCTTTGGTGTAAGGCCGCGGTCAAACTCCAAGACAAAGCTCTTCGCGGACCCCAACTTTACCATCCCACAATTCCAAGAACGAGCTGGCGGTGCGAACGGGGCACTCCAAGAGAGTCTACAGGTAAGCGAAATCCCAGGGTCGCCCGGTTTTGACTTTCAAATTTCCACGCGGCAACACCTCTTCTTTGGACTCAAACCCATCTGAGAGCCCCCCAACCTAGCACTTTGACATGGCCAGGGCCGAAACTTGCAGGATTCCATCTCCTTTACCCGAGGAACATTCAGCAGAACATCGAAAAGTGGAGGCAAAAGCAATCAAAAGGCGCAAAAAGTCGGCACGGAGCAGAAAGGCGACACGCAACAATGACCCAAGACAATGCAACAAAAAAACCAAGCAAAAGAATGAACACCACTGCAATCTTCGACGCTGATGCCTGATGCGAATATTAGTAAATATAATCATAGTAGTGAACGCAGGGGGTCCAAGGGAGGTCCAAGGGGTCCTAACGCATGCTTCCACATTGCCAGGTCGCTTGACCTCATTGCTAAGCACGTGCAGCAAGATGTAGTCAACGACCCTAAAGGGGAGATACCCAATCTGCTTGTTGGGTATGGTTTCTTGCTAGCTGGCCATCCTGCACGCCTATGAAGAGCATGTCAAGCGTCTTAAACAGCCAGACGCTTCCAACAGTTCTTGGCATGTCGGAAAAGACTGAGTCCGAGTCCAAGAGCAAAAAGATCAGCACATATTTATAGTTTAGTACTGGTTTAGTATTGTACATGTAGTTGCGATCGCCGCCCTTGCCGCCCTCGCCACCCTTGCCGACGCAGAAAGGCCAAAAGTTGATTGAATATGACTTCAAGGACCGGAGACGGTCCAGAAGCGGGGCGGACAGTTTTTTTGTGTTTTTCTTTTTTGTGGAATTTTGTGTTTTTTTTGTCGTGGTCCCTTGGTCCCCTGGTCTCCTGGTGCCCCGGTCTGCTAGTCTAAAAGTTTTACGGCGAACCTTCAACCTTAGCAATCCCTTCCAAAAACCAAACACGACTCGGTCTCTTTTTCTCAACGGGCGGTAGGAGCTTCTGTTCTCAACTACTCTACCTCGTCCACTACCGTCGGGGGTAGCTTGAGCCTAGCTGCACGCAGTGGTGAAAAATGTACACTTTGTTACGCCCTCAACCAATCACGATTCTCTTTGGAATGTGACTTGGTTTCTTGAAACACATTTTTCCCGAGGCACAGCCATACAGCTCGCTCTTCTCCCAAGCGGTTCACAGCTTTGGCTGCCTCAACTCCTTTCTCTCTTTCCCGAAAATACTTCAAACACGTGAGGGGCTTTGTGAAACATGATGCAAAATGCATCTGGTCCTTGAGCTTCCTAGGCTGCTCACTGTTCTTTTCGAATTTTTCCTTTTCTTCTTCTTTTGGATCCCTTTTGTGGGCTTTGTTGCACGCCCTCATGGATCTTTCCGAATTTCCTAGCCACTCCTTTTTGCTTCTCAAAGTCGTCTTCTCAATCGTTCGCTCTCACACCTTCGGTCTCCGATTTCATTTGCCTTCTTCGTAGGCATTTTCAATCTTTCTTCTCGATTTGCTTCTTCTTCATCTCTTTTTTTCGCTTGTTCTTCTTCTCCTTCTTGGCCTTCTCCTTTTCTTCCTTTTCCTTCCGCTTCTTCTCCTTCTTCTCGGCCTTTTGCATCTTCTTTTCAATGCTCGCCTTTTCGATTCTCGCTTTCTCGATCTTGTCTGCTTCTTCCTTCTCATTCTTCTTCACTTCCTCGATCTCCTTTGCAATCTCGTGCAACGACTTGTTATCGTTCCACTCCACTTCTGCCTTCTTCTTTTGCTTCGTCTCGCTTTGCTTCTTTCTTGCCTCAGCATTCGCTTCTGCCATGAGCTCTGTCACGTCTTCATCCTCCTTTTCTGGGCTCTGTGGCGCTCGTTCACCTTCCTCTTCTGTGAACTTTGACTTCTGGGCCTCAGCATTTTCATCTTCCTTTCGCTTCTTTTCGGCTTCGGCCTTTTCCACATCGTCCTTGTGCCAACACGTCTTTTCATCATGCCCGGCCCAACCTTTTCCGACGACCTCTGGGCAGTAAGTCGCGTTTGCACGGCCTCGCTTGCCTTTTCCGACGCGGAAGCAATACCGGCACAATTTACTCCAACGCAGGGTGCTGAACAACCCTGCCTTATGGCTTATCGCATGCTGAATCATCTTCAGGCATGCTGCTGCTTTGTGGCCTTTGCCTTGACAGAAGTTACACTCGCTGAGGTTGTTACTGACCTGCTTTTGGTTTTTGAGCATTGCCAATACGTCTTGCTCAAGTCGGCTTTCGTTTTCTTCTTGCGTACTTTGGTTGCTCGTGTGCCGGTAAGGATCGTTTCCTTCTTCGCTTTCCGACTTTGAATCCAAGGATTTCCACTTGGCCTTCTTGATCACATCCGGTGCAACCTTTGGCATTGCCTTCACTTCCGGCTCAACCTTCTTTTTCGGCATTGCCTTTGACTTGGCTTTCTTCATCCTTTCTCCCAGCTGTTTTCCAAGTTCGGCTGCCTTTCGCTTGGCCTTCTCCACCATTTCGCCTAGCTGAGCTCCAAGCTCAACTGCCTTTTCTTTGGCCTTTTCCGTCTTATCCTTTTTCTCCTGCTCATCCATAGCTTTCTGCTTGATCTCCTCCAGGATTTTCAACTTAGCGGCTTAGCGGCCTGCCTTGCCTTCTTTTGCTCTTCATCCATTTCTCCTGCTGGAGTTGTTGGTGCTGATTCCAGCGTTGGCTCTGACGCCTTTCCTTCCAGGCCTTTGACCCTCGCCTTTTCAACTTTCCGCAGTCCTTCTTCAATTTCGGCATAAAAGCCTTTCACGCTCATCAGCTTTGCCAGCGCCATATTTCCAACTTCTTCAATCCTAACCATCTTTTCGAGTGGCTTGGACTTCGGGCTCGGCATTCCCTTATCGAACGCTTTAAGCCAAAATGCTGCGGATGCACACATGAACACAACCATTCCACATGTGACTGCTACCATGAACATGACGCTGCAAACATGTCGGTTCGTCCCTTTTTCTTCGACTTTGCATTCACCGACTTCACACATCAAAACCATTGTCACGATTCTCTCTATTTTCTGGACCATTGCGCCTGAAACTGATTTTCCTTTCTTCCTTTGATTCCAGGTTTCAACTTCTCCTTCTTCCGTTTCATATCCGAGAATCACCATGTACTTCCTGATCTTTTCCTTCGTCAGCGCCTTTGTTCCTAAATCAGCGGGATTTTCAGTTCCTTTTATCGCCTTGATTTCCAATCCTCGGATCTTTTGCATCCGCAGTAGATTCACATCCATGTGTCTTGCTCTTCCCAATCCTTGCCGTGCGATCAATTGTCGTGACGAACTTGAATCTGAGAACAATCTCAACTTGGGTTCGATGCCCAAAATTCTCTTCAACAATTCTCGCAAGAAAACGAATCTCAACAGATACAAGTGAATGAAATGAACGCGTGATCTGTGAATTAGCGAAAGAAAGAAGATAATAGGGGAAAAAGGGGGTCATAAAGGAGAACACGAAGACAATACTTTTTAATGGGGTTTTTTGACCAATCATCGGTTAACCCTTGATTTGTGGTTCTGAAAAGCAAAATGCCCTTTTCCACACACACTGAGAGCCTCATATCATGCGCATCATGGAATTGGGCTGCTGCCAACAACATGACGGAAAACGCTTGAGTAAAACACGGTGAAATACAGCATGCGGGACGCGTAAAGTTTGTTCACCCCGCCTGAGCAATCTTGGCTCGTTTCGAGGCTCATTGCTCAAACAAACACACTACTTATTCTTGAAACACTGAGTACACGCAAAGTAGACTTTCCTAGGCTTGCTGGACTTGCGCACGTACTGGCACTCGTAGCGATGGAAGGCTTCGCCTCCATCTGGGATGACGATCACGGCGTCACCCTTCTGATGACGTGCAACACTGCTTGCCACACAGCTACTGCTACTGCTCCCCTCATTCACACGGCCTCCCTTTGTCACATGCTCTCGTTGGGCAACCGCCAACTTCGAGCGAAGGCTTTTGAGCTGAAACCATTGGAACATGATCACGCCCACAAGGAACAGCACGCCATATGTCTCGGCACTGAACATTTGAACATACTCATGCAGCAGTGTTCCACCCATCAAGATGACAGTAACGTACGATGCATTCTCCGAACCATCTGGGCTCAAGGCTCTCCACAAAACCAGTGCACACAACACAAGCAGAACAACTGGCAGCACAGCAACGCTCATAGCATCACTGCACGATGCACCACGACATGCCTCCGCAGCGTTTGGCATCAACAGTGTGAGCAGCGCTACCTTCTTGATCCACCCAGTTGCCACATGTGATCCCACAAACTGGTGTTTGACACGATTCACTTGCTGCTTGAACTCATGCTTGAGCTGCACATCTTCCCATTCCTTCTCGCCAACTGCATCATGGTGCTCGTTCGCCAATCCATGAAGATACCACAGCGCCAACAATCGTGCAGGACTGAAAGGCTTCGTAAACAGGTCACCCAAGTTGTAGTGTGTGCTCACCGCCTTCACTTGCAGACGGCCTTGACGCACAGCATCTTGAAGCCAAAGAAACCTGCCCTCGATGTGCTTAGCAGCTTTCGAGACGCCTTGCCTCAAAGCAAACTGCCTAGCACTCGCATTGTCAAGCAAAACCACAAGCTGGCATGGTTCTCCAATCATGAACATGATGGTGGCCTTCATAAACAAGCCCTGACACGCCGCACTCACTGCCGCGTAGAACTCGGATTCCATGCTGGACAGGGAGATGCAACGCTGAGCCCTGCACACATAGTGCAAGTAGCATCCATCCAAACAGTAGGATGCCCCGCCATATGATTTACGATCTTTGCGAGATCCTGCCCAGTCAGCATCTGAGTAGCATTCCAGGCGACGGCATATCCCATTGCTCGAACAATCCACAACCATACTTGAAAGCAATTTCGAACTGCCAGGCGGACCAATGCAAATCGCAGTGGCGTAGTTGCATGTGTTCAGCAAGTACTGCACCAACTTGACCAATCCCCGCAGCGCCTGCTTCGTAGGGCTGGCCACGCTGGACGCGAGCAGCCTAATGGTGTACCCTATGTCTGGTCTGTCTGCCGAAATGTACAACCCAGTTCCTACAGCCGCACGAAACTTGCTTGCCTCGGATGGTGATAGCAGCTCACTCGTGTCCTTGTCTCGAAGCTCTTGCATACATGGAACTCGTTGTCGATTGTTCGGTTTCACCCCCAACACTGCTGCCATGTGCTCACTGTACTGTGGTGGCTGCTGTATGACGATTCTGTCATCCAAGATCGTATGCTTGCGCTTGAGGAAGGAAAACTCATCCCCACATTTCCAAGCCATCTCCACAGTTACCTGAAATCGCGACTTCACAACTGGCAGGAAAACGTTGAGGGCCCACTGAAGTGGTAAAAGCAAAATGCTATCGTCCACGTGGATCATCCCAGGGCCTTCTGGGAGCTTGACGATGGCCGGACACTCAGGACACTGTGACACTGCAAAATGCTCGGACAAGAATGTGACAAAGTGCTGAAACCAACGACTTGACCCTTCTCGCTGCCCTCGGACCATTTTCTGGAACACAAACTTCACGTGAACGCCGGGACGCACCTCGATTGTAGACACTACGGGCTCTGGCTGATCGACTTCAAGATACGCATCTTTGATATCGAGGGAAACAATGGCATACTCGATGTCGGGCCTTGTTTGCTTCCATGACAGGAACAGAGCTGGTGTGAGGCGAGCAATGTCACTTGATGTAGCCGGGGAAGTTGCCGCCTGATAGGGCACACACAATATACTGCGCTAGGAAGAGGATCCAAGGTGAATCCTTGCGCTTGCAAGTCCGGCACGGTGCCCCAATAGGACTTAGAGCAAAAGTAGGGGGCAAGCCCTTGGCACTCATTTGTAAGGTCCCGGTACAAACCCCGAAAGGCCTGTTTGTGGGGGGCTTTAGCGACGCCAGGGCCATCTATGCTCCACAAGCTGGCTTGCGTGCGCAGATATTCCCTGCCGCTAATCAGACCTGCCGACGAGCAAGCTGCCATTTGAAAACAAGCGCCAACTCCATCCGGATAGGGTGGTGTGAGAAAGATCAACGGGCCCAGCCCACGGGTGAATGATGAGGTTGCACGAGCGAATCCAGCCTCGCTTTGGAACAAGAAGCCTGACGCTCTGCTCATGACAAAGACACACACGCCAAAGGTGGGTCCAGTCGAGCACGCAGTTGTGATTGCGCTAAAGTATCGCTTTAAAGCTCCAAAGTTGGCACTCAGGAAATTTTTGAATGCCCCCATATCCCACGTGCTGGGTCGTCCTCTCAGAGGGAAGTCACAGGAGGTTTGGCAAGCCTCCATGAGGCTCATGTTCTTGTCGTCCAGTTCTTCCTCAGGGTAACTCGACCGCAGTAAGGACTTGATTTGCAGCACAATTGTAGCATATTGAGAGACAAAGCCGATGGAGGCATCATCAAAAATTTAGTGTCCGAAGGCAAGCACAATATCTGCGATCAGCCAGCTGAGTTCCAGACTGGTGCCCAGTTTGCTCTTTCCTTCAAGATGGTCTTTTATGCTGACCCATCTGCAAGTCTCTAGGCACCTTCCGGCTGGACTACGTAAGGGACGAGCAGACAGGTGATGCAAGCTAGGCCGTTGCGGCATCAAGAGGGTGGCATCCTGCCCCTCTAATGCAAAAAGACAGGCCTCCGGGCACCTGCACGCGTACAGAACGGCGGAAATCTCTGGTGGAAGGCGCATAGACGCGCTGAGCGAAATGTTGATCGTAGGCCTGCAGATAGACTTGAGGCCTGCCGCCTGCATAACCGTTTCTGCCTGCTTTGACTTGGCATGGCAGAGACACAGGATGGACTCAAGCATAGACCTGGCAGTAAACGCAGGCTCGTTAGCGCCTACGTGCACCGTGGATTTGCCCCAAGAGTTGGCCTTTTTTCCAGGCCTTAGGACCATGCTCAAGCAACTCCATCACGAAATGGTAATTTGGGCGAGATCCTTCTGCCGGCTGCCTGTGATTCCTATCATAGGATCTTGACATTCTTCAGCCTATTTATTAGTGCAGAATATGCGAAGGCGGGCAACAACTATGCCATGCGTGGCCGCAACTAGCAGTCCACTCCATGCGTCATAAGCGTCAAATAGAAGCTTATGCGCATCCTTCTTTCTTGCTGGCCGGAACCCGCTCAATACGGCTCCAGACAAAGCTGTGGCTCTCCACGATCAGCCTGTCCGCAGTTCAACATAAGCCCGCACCAACTCATTACCGTGACCCGTGTGAAGAGTGAGCTTACCGGTGCCACAAGGACTTCCATGAAGGCACATGAGCGGGTTTTTCGCTGCCTGGCGCCCATTTGGAAGACGAAATTTGAAGAAAGGCTAAGAAAGCCTGCC